TTTTGAGCATTTTCAATTTTTTTATTTGCTCTTGAGTTCTTTGGATGTTGATGTAGACGAGCTTTTGCACAGGTAGGCACCTAATACAATTTCCTTCCAAATGAATGACCTCGACCTTTCGTGTTGCGAATTCCGCTATGCAGAAAAGTACTAGGGCAATTTACGGTAATTGATCGCAATGCGAATTACAGTTAATTTCGGTGTAAATTGACTTGCGAGTCTATTTTCGAATTAGGGCCTATTTCGAATAAAATTACCATTAACACTATTGGCTACTTTACAAATCCATGAGCAATTTCACGATCCAATTTTAACGAATTTCGAAAACAAATGCTTGAAAGAGTTAATCTAGAAATTTCGTTTACAAAAGGAGTTAAAAAGTAACAGCGTTAAATATAAAACTTGTTATGGACAAATAAAGCCTTCAATAAGTAATTTGTAAAGGTAAAAAATCCCCAATTAAGTACCGACCTATTTTCTACCGAGGGCTGACATTTCTTTTGGTTGGACCCAAAATGGCGAATGGCAATAATGCAAAAAATTTTTATTCCACTAAACATTAATGTTTCGTATTATTATATGTGCATATAGGTTATAGTTAGTATTATTTCGCAGCGGAATACGTAACTCACATGAAGAATTTCTCAACGTGGTGTACCATCAGCAACCAGCATCAACAAGAGCAAAAAGGTCAGATCCAGGACTGTATTATCAACTATTTCGTTATATGATCTATTCCCAACTCTAGCACACACTTTTTACACTTGCACCCACGATTGTAACTTCTTGTGACTCCTCTTCGTATTGTAACCGATTTTTTTTACTTTCCCTTAAAACTATGTTACGAGTAACAGAAGATTTATATGTATGTACGTATGGACTCAGGTGTATGTTTGTATTGCAGTTGAAGATCATTCACATTCATTTTCGTTCGGATACACCGGAAAAACACCCGAATTTGGAAAATTTCTTACGGTCCACAGCCAGGGTAAAACAATTAAATCAGATAAACATATGTGTACTTGCTGTTGTCATGGTTGGCTGTGAAGAAAAATTAAATGTCATCACAGCCATTCATAATTTTTCAATCCTTTACATTACGTAGCGAGCTCGCATGCTGTGTGTAAAACATCCAAGTTTTTGTTTTTTTTTTTAATTTTGTCAGTTAATCATACATAGGTATATTTCCAAGTGGTATCATAACATGCATCCATTATCAGTAACTAATATAATTTCTGACTTATTTTCACTTTTACTATCTAATTGCAGTTAAAATAAAAAGGTTTGTTCGGTATAAATTATTCATAAATGTAGTCAGTTAGTATTTGATAATTGGCTTGCTTTTATCATTAACCATTAATGTTTTTGCTTGTTTGGTGTGCTTAAAATTATTCCAATTTTATGCAGCGTTTGGCATAAAACGAAATTCTTTTTTGTAGTAGGTGGCGATAAATCGGAGGGTTTGACAAAGAGCACGAGTGCTACATCAATCCACCGAAATCACAGCACTGGCGACCTGGGTTCAATGAACGGGGATATTGTCCATCACAATCTTCAGTTTATGCGTAAAATACCGCCAGGTTCGGAAGCAAGTAACATTCTTGTCGGCGAGGTGGACTTTTTAGAAAAACCCCTCGCCGCATTTCTTCGTCTAAACACGTCCGCAGTGGTGGGCGATCTTACAGAAGTTCCCGTTCCAACACGGTTTATTTTCGTCCTTCTTTATCCTCCAGCAATGAATTCAGGATACCACGAAGTTGGAAGGGCTATGGCAACCTTAATGTCGGACGAGGTATTCCACGAAGTCGCTTACAAAGCAAAAAACAGGAACCACCTCCTAGCAGGAATAGACGAATTTTTAGATGCGGTTACTGTCCTTCCACCTGCCGAATGGGATCCTGCGATTCGAATAGAACCTCCAGCAGCCATTCCGTCTCAAGATGTTCGAAAGAAACCTCCACCCGAGAAACCTCCAGCTGAAATCGATGAAGAAGACGAAGAAGAGAGGTACAGAGAAGAGAACGGTTTATCGAGAACCGGAAAACTGTTTGGCGGACTGCAAAACGACATTAAAAGAAAATTGCCATGGTATTTGTCTGATTTTAAAGACGCTTTATCTTTACAATGTGTTGCCACATGGATATTTTTGTATTTTGCTTGTCTGTCTCCTATAATTACATTCGGAGGATTACTCTCTGAAGCCACAGGCAAAAATATGGCTGCCATGGAATCGCTTGTGTCTGGTTTCGTTTGCGGCATCGTCTATGGATTCTTTTCTGGTCAACCTTTGACCATATTGGGATCCACTGGGCCAGTATTAGTGTTTGAAACGATTGTCTATGATTTTTGTTTACGAATCGGATGGGACTATATGTCGCTGCGTTTCTGGATAGGAACATGGATTTCAGTTATTCTGTTCATCCTAGTGGCTACTGACGCCAGCGCATCCGTGTGCTATATTACGAGGTTTACTGAAGAAAACTTTGCAACTCTGATAGCCTTTATTTTTATTTATAAGGTACGAAACATAATATCATAAAGTGGTTGAAGTTTTTTATTTCTGAAACTTCAAACGTTCACAGTTGTATGAGTAAAATAAAACCACGGCAAAGACTGTGATGATTATTTATTGTTTTAGGCAATCAAATAATGCAGTTGCAGTTTCGTTATATTTACAGACTTTTGATAAATTGATTATTTCCAACTTTTAAAAAGTAACTGATTAATTTTTTCGTTTCATTTTTACGTGCTCCTAATCGATTAAGTAAAAAAATCGATTTTTCTGATTAATCACATTATCGATTATTTTCACATAACTATTTTTTCAATTTAGGATATATTTACATGTTCCTATTTAGCAATTCTAAATAATAATTAATATTTAGTAATTGTAACAATTTAGAACATAAAAGCATCTTTATTACTTACAAAATAAAATTATTTTATTTTAAAAGGCTTTAGACGCCCTCAATAGAACTAATTCAATAATTAGCAAGAATTTTAAAGTTGTTTTTACATACGTCTTTTAGAAATGGTCTCACTATCTCTAAGAGACCTTTCACACGGATTACTTTTTCTAGCGCTTCTGAAGCGTCACAGTTGCACGATTTTTGTTGTTGCACTTTACTAAGAAATAAATTTAGTTAAGGTAACGGTTCCACACTGGCGTATTTTTAGTAGTGCGAAAGACAGATAATGGACAATGTCGATGTCGAAAATTTCATAATCTCAAAGACTGCATTTGGAATAGCTGCAATACAGACTATATAAGGTAAAGCATGGGAAGAAGAAATATATATTTCGATATAAATCTTGGAAAGATATATAGAAATCCTTTTATCAATCGATTGCTGTTGTAAGGATCGACCCAATATTTCCGATTCTTTATATTTTTCTTTTTTTAATTTATCAGAAGCGCTCCTCTTCGTCTTCCTTCTGCGACTTCATTTTAATAACTGTTAAATTTGAAATAGTTCATTACTAAATCGGCCGCAAAAAATCGGTCTTTGTACATACGAACTAGCAACTGTCACACTACTGTAACACAACTAGAGCGCTACAAAATGCAGCTAGTGTGAAAAGGCTCTTAGTCTTGGTCTTGTTACCTAATCCTTTATTTTTTGATAAGAACCATGACAGACCAGTTTTATTGTACTAAGTACTATCAACTTTGTTTCCATGTATGAAGTATTTGCTTTTATTCTAGTCAGTGGAAAATGTCTTTTCAATTGGTAAAAGATACCCGATCAATACTAGCGGATTTACAAATATACCATCTAAATGTTATTGCATTCCAAACGAAATTGCTCAACAAGGACACCCTGAAATGGACTGGTCACATTTTAATAGGACAACGTGCCTTGTAAGTCCATGAGAAAGCATCGTAATTCTTTATTTGATTTATGTCGTACTTTCAGAGCTATAACGGCACGTTGGTGGGAGAGGGCTGTTCTACATCTGAATATGTTCCAGATGTGTTCCTAATGTCAATTCTTTTGTATATTGGAACCTTCTTACTATCCGTTGTACTGAAAGATTTTAAAAACGCCTTATTTTTTCCTGCAAAGGTAAATATTTTTAAGTAACCCTTTTTTTTGTGATTTTTAACGTTGAAGACTTTTGGAATTATATTTAGAACCACCAAAGAATGAGGTTTATACAAAAATCCAGCTTTCCCCGATTTTTTTGTTGTGCAGTGTCTCATTCGCTTTTTATTTGAAATTGTAGGTACGACAGTTTGTCAGTGATTTTGCCGTAATAATAGCAATCTTTTCAATGTCATTTTTGGACTTCAAAGTAAACATCCCAACCCCGAAACTTGAAGTACCGACGGAATTTAAACCCACTTTGAGTACAAGAGGTTGGGTGATACCGCCGTTCAATGGGAACCCAATATACACTGCCCTCTTGGCACTTTTGCCAGCTCTCCTTGGCACCATCCTGATATTCATGGATCAACAAATTTCGGCTGTTATTATTAACAGGAAAGAGAACAAACTGAAAAAGGGTTGCGGATATCACTTGGACCTGTTCGTTTTGGCAATTCTCATTGAAATATGCAGTCTGATGGGATTACCGTGGTTCGTTGCAGCAACTGTCCTGTCAATCAATCACGTTAATTCGTTAAAGTTGGAATCTGAATGTGCGGCTCCCGGGGAGAAGCCGCAGTTCCTCGGAGTGAGAGAACAAAGAGTAACGCACATATTAATATTTTTAACAATTGGCCTGTCAGTGTTCCTAACACCAATTCTAAAACATATTCCTATGCCAGTATTATTCGGAGTATTTTTGTATATGGGAGTCTCGTCACTAAAAGGACTACAATTCTTCGACAGAATCCTGATCATGTTCATGCCACCGAAGTATCAACCAGATTATATGTTTTTACGACAGGTAAATATTATAATTGTAATATTAGAATCGGACCATAAATCGTTGTAACTTACCTACTAGAATGAAAACGTCGGTTAGCTCGGTTTATTACCCAGGTCAAAATTATGGATCGTTTAGGATTATGTAATGACTCCATAATAATAATAACATGAATAATGAACCAGTAGCAAGGGAGGAACAAGAAGGGAAACATCAAATTTATAGATAGGAGACGAAAATTAGAAGAAGTGACTGATTTTAAGTATCTAAGTCAGATAAGTCAGAACGGAAGGAGTAGTAGGGATATAAAGCATAGGATAGCTCAGGGTGGTGTCGCCTTCAATAAAAAGAAGTCACTTCTATGCTCGCGAACTGAATTCAGAAATTCGAAAAAGATTGTTAAAAGTGTATGTTTGGAGCGCGGCGCTGTACGGGTGCGAAACATAGACGGTGGGAGGGGTTGAAAAGAAAAGGTTAGAAGCGTTCGAAATGAGGTGTTACAAGGGAATGATGAGGATACTGTCGATAGAGAAGGTTAGAAATGAAGAGGAATTAAAAAGAATGGGAGAACAGAGGACTCTAAGTTAATAAAAAATAGGCGAGATACGTTGGTAGGACACCTTCTCAGGCATAAAGGTCAGAAGCAGGAGTTAGAAGGAGTAATGGTAGACCTAGATTAGATTACTGTTCACAAATATTTAAGGATGTGGGTTGTTCTAGTTTTAGGAAAATGCGAAGATTAGCTCAGGATAGGAAAGAGTAAAGGTGCGTGTCGAACCAGTCTTAGGGCTGACGACCTTATGATGATGATGAGCTAGTTATAAACAGCACAGTTGTTTAAGACGTAAAATTCTAGATCGTGGGTTCATTATGGCAACTGTTTTTTTGTTTTCTTCAAAATATTTCCCCTTTTCCAATATAGTAACTGATACAACATATACCTAAGTACCTGAACTTAATTCAGGTGTGCAGTTCAGACATTAATATCAAACCATAAACTGAAGCTAACGAAAGCATCTACGTACTGAAGAATGCATGTATCAATTCCATCAGACAACTTGGCATTCTGATTGGTTAAATAGCATTCCCTGGCTTATTTAAAGGATGTGTTTAGTATCATATGACTACGGTAGGAATCACTTCGTAAGTGTTGTCTTCTCCTACTTTAACCTCATGATTCTAACGATAACCGTCAAATAAATGGAGAAGGGGGTGCTATTGAACCAATTAGATCACCGCATTTCAACTATGGTGACCGTGCATGACGAAATTCAAACATGTGTACCGGACATCATAACAAATTTTGCGAGCAAAAATAGAATTATAAAATTAAAAGCTTACATTTCTGTATTTCTTTATTTATTTCATTATAGGTTCCCATTAAACGCGTTCATATGTTCACACTTATTCAACTGGCTTGCTTGATCGTTTTATGGACCATCAAATCATTTAGTACAACGTCAATCCTTTTCCCGTTGATGTTGGTTGTGATGATTGGTATAAGAAAATCATTGGATTTGATATTTACTAGAAGGGAACTGAAGATACTCGACGATATTCTACCGGATTTTGTGAAGAGAAGTCAGCATGACGAACTAAAGGATGTAGAGGTGGGCTGGGGTACTAAATTGGCTACATTTTGCTTGGGCTCTCCCACTGTTAGATTGCCCTCGGATGATAAAAATTCCGAATCTAAACCTCTTAATGCTTAAAAAATGATGTAAAGTACAAAAATGCGACAAACATCAGGAGATTAATAATGAAGATAACTTCGATTTTTTTTTATTTATGCCTGAATTAGCTATGACTTTAAGATTTAATGATACGCTGATGATGAATTTAGTAACTTCTATTTAATAGAATTAAATTGGATATTTATTTAATCATGAAATTCCATCAAGCACAATATTTAATAACAGAAGTAATTAACTACTAAGCACATTGTGCTGGTCCTTCTAGTTCTGTTTTAGTCCCACTAAAAATGCCCTTTTCTTCAACACTTATCTTTGTTTGATAACATACGAAATTTTGATGATTTCAAATGTTTTATAAAACCCTAAAAGTAGATATCCAATATCGAAATACTAAGTAGCTCTGTATATTCGTCTTATCATTCATAGAAATATTTTCAATGTTTGAAAAGTATTACACTTATATTTAAAACCATACCCTCATTTACCATTTTTCATAAATTAATTTTCTTGTATTATTAATCTTACAATTAACAAGAACTTCCTCTAAAATTTTATGTGTTCTACATTTTTAATTGTGTCAAGTAAATTATTGCGCGTTTCCCACTTTTACTAAATAAATATTTCAAAGTAAATGCAAATACTTCATAAAAGCAATACATATATCAATTTACATACAATAAAAGTTTCTCAGGAATACTTGAGATTAAAATAATTTATTTGTATACCAAATTTGCCTTAATTTATTTTATTTGGTAAGAGATCTTACAATTAACTTCATCTATCCAATACTTAATTGAATGGATTCCAAACGCTAGAGAATTAGACACAAAAAAATAGTCTTTAGTGCTGCAGAGTATTGGCTAGATGTAAATTTATACAACGTGTATATCTACGCGAGTCGAAAATATAATAGCTGTAATATTCGCTACAACCGTAGAAATAAACTGATAAAGTAGCCAATTTATTACTTTTCTTAAATAAATTATGTAGTTTTGTTATAATTAAGTATGCTGGTGATAAATTTTAGTAGACATTGAAAGTACCTTTAATATTCATGTATTAAATACCATTTGTTGTTTATTTGTTTATTTTTTAATAAATTGTTGACATCTCATGCTTGTTTTTTTTTATTTGATTCACATTTTATCGATCACACTTTTGCAGGTAGATATTGTAGTATAACCGATTGGAAAAGACGCTTATGTAATAGTAGCTTTTAACTTTACGCGCTCGTCATACGCCATATACGGAAATAACCTACGTAAAAGCGTTACATTATCGCGATGCCCTTAAACGTAAATAATTTTATACATTCATCATCATCATGGCATATTTATGCATAGTTATGATAAAAACTACGATGTGTAATCCGCTCGGTATAGTTCTCAATAGCGTCTTTTTCTTGCTTTTGCTTATGCACCCGAGCGGACCGTTGTCAACTATATCTCACTCGTTTCACAATGCACTATTGTGGTAGGAAAATATTAGTTCTATGCCCATTTCCGGGGCTAAAACGAACATTAATGTACGGTCTAAATTCAGCTATTAACTCAAAATGTTTTCTGAAACGAATTCGAGGTACAAAAGCTCCACGCTTTAGTATTTCAATACTCTTACACCTACGTGGAATAAGGATTTAATTTTCTTGATAAATTTCAACTTTCGTTTCACAACCAGTATACAGAATTAAAATTGAAGAAATTTTTGTTGAAACGTGCGTCAC